ACCGGGCTGTTCGGCCTCCCGTCAGTGGACCTCCTCACATCCCCCCTCAACACTCAACTCCCCAGGTTTTTCTCGAGGTACCCCTCCCACGGGGCCGAGAACTACAACGCCCTCCGTTGCCCCTGGCCCACAGGGCTTCTATATGCACTCCCTCCCGTAGCCCTGGTACTCAGGGTCATCCAGAAGCTCATCTCCGAGACAGCAGAACTGATTCTGGTGGCACCCTACTGGCCTAGGCGCCCATGGTTCGCGGACCTCCGCAACCTATCGATGGCCCCTCCCTGGGAAATTCCTCCGAACAGGATATCCTTTCTCAGGGTCCCCTCCAGCACCCGGACCCGCAGTGGCTCCAGCTAGCCGTTTGGAGGTTGAGCGGGAGCGTTTAAGATAGGAGCAGTTTTCGGACCAGGTTATTGATACCATCCTAGCCGCCAGGCGACCCTCCACAACCCGAATCTACAATGCCACTTGGAATAGTTTCTGCAAGTGGTGCCAGGGTTTCCAGGTCAACCCGCTTTCACCATCCATAGCTCAAGTGTTGGAATTCCTCCAAGCGGGTCTGAGGAAAGATCTTTCTCCAAACACCCTGAGGCGTCAGGTCGCAGCCCCTTTCAACCGTCATTGCTTGTGGCAATCTGGGGTCCCTTTCCCTCCACCCTCGCATTAGGGCATTCCTCAGGGGAGCCACTAACCTGTGTTCCCATCAGTTCACAGATACCCCACTTGGGACCTCAATAAGGTCCTTGTGGCCCTTACCAAACACCCCTTTGAGCCGCTCAGGAAATCCACTCTCCAGTTCCTAACATTCAAAGTTGTTTTCTGGTGGCCATTACTTCGGCTCGCCGAATATCAGAGATAGCGGCCTTGTCTGTGAGGAAGGACCTTTGCATCTTCCATGCCGACCGGGTAGTTCTCTGGCCGGATCCTACCTTCTTGCCCAAGGTCAACTCAGCCTTCCACAGGGCACAGGAACTCACACTTCCGAACTTCTGCCCCAATCCCTCGCGGGAAAGGGAGAAGCTTTGGCATACCCTAGACGTAAGACGGGCCCTCTACATTTACATTAAACGTACCCAGCCCTTCAGGAGATACGAATCCCTATTCCTTTCCTTTCAGCCCAAATCGTTAGGCCACAAAGTGTTCCCGTCAACCATCGGCCGCTGGATTAGAGCTACTATTTCCCAAGCTTACCTGTCCCAGGCCCTGCCCATTCCCAGCGGAATAACGGCACACTCCACCAGAAGTGCTGCTACCTCGGCTGCTTGGGCCACCCACGCCCCAATTGCTGACATTTGTCGGGCGGTCTCTTGGGCCTCCCCATCTCCCTTTATTAGATATTATAAGATCGACATATTTGCTTCGGCGGAGGCTTCGTTTGGTAGACGAGTCCTCCAGCGAGTCCTCAAGGAACCGCAGAGATTGCAGGACCAGACGGACTCCCTCCCGTAGGACAGCCAAGCTTTGGTATGTCCCATTCTCTGGATGATCCGAACGGCTCCCAGGAGAATGGGCGTTGGTTCTTACCTGACACGCCATTTCTCTGGAGCCGTGAGGATCATCCAGCCCCACCCTTATTAAGTTTTCCGTCTGGTGGGGTCTTGTTTCGGCCAATGAACCCTTTAGCATAGTAAGATGAGAGCAAGATCTTCTCTTCACTCTCGACTTCGCGTAAACTGGGGATTGCAAGGCAGCCACGTGGTGAAGGGCGGAGCAATCCTCAGTAATTAAGCTCAGCCTACAACGACGCAGACTGAAGCACCTCCCACTCTCTGGATGATCCTCACGGCTCCAGAGAAATGGCGTGTCAGGTAAGAACCAACGCCCAATCCCACCCCTGTGGAGCACCACTTGAACACCGTCGGCATTGACAAATTCACCATCCGTCAATTGCAAAAGGCAGCTTGACTTGGCACAGCTTACATCCTTCCACAATCCCTTTGAAATTATCAATATGGTATTCTAAACATCTGGCTGGTTGTACGAGCAACCACAATAATAATAAAAATGCAAAGGAGCAATTGGAAGGCCACATTCCTGTAGCTGGGAATTTTGCATGGCTTCGTGTCTAAAACAAAGGAGTCCCTGACTTTTTGTTATTCAAGGCACAATAAAGTAATACATCCGTCATTGAATGAAGCCTGGCTCCTGGTGACCTCATGGGCATATCTATGCAGTCTTCTTGGCAGCAGCCAGAAGTGAGAAGCACCATGTTTCCTGTGATGACCCAAAGGGGCGTGGCACAAAAGCAACAAAGTCACAAAAGTAGGTAAAGTCCCTTTAATTCCTCCAACTTGGCCCCCAATGTCCAGTTATCATTGGCTGGAGAAAAAAATCTCCCAAGAACAGTTTTTAAAGGGAAGAAATTCCGTACGAACCCAAAGTACATCTAAATTATAAATAAAAACCAACACAAACCATGCTGCAGCAATTAACGAGACAGGGCAGGATAAGGGATTGCAGACTTCCAAAAGATAACGAAACACACATAGTTGAGAGGACGCCAGAATCCAGATAAGACTTGATAAACAAAGATAATTCACGCTTTGCTTCCAGCAAGGTGCTGTGTGCAAATGCCCCTTTTAAATCCTGTTTTCCCAGCTGCAGCTAATGAAGGGAATCAGGGCCTTTTCCTCCCCTGTAACCCATGCAACAGACGTTGGTCCCTTCTCTGTTCCTCCCTGTGTGCCCTAGGATGAAGAGGGGGTGGGCCTGGGTATTTTTCTGAATGCCCAGCTGGACTGTGCCCTTCCCCAGTTTCTTCCACAGCCACTGGAGCCACACTCCCACTCCCTGTCAGCTGCTCGACCTCCCCCTCGGAATCAGATTCCAACAGGGGCATGATAATTCCTCCCAATTTCCCAATTTGGCCGAGAGTTGGATTATTTTCCCATTTTGGCCTCTGTTCAAGTATTAACCAGATCTCTTCTGATTTGGCTTCTGAACCTAGCCAGATTGTCACAGGTTTCCCCCCATATAGTCCTCAGTTTACAGCAGTTCATTTAGTGACCATTCAAAGTTACAACGGAATTGGAAAAAAAGTGACTGATGACCATTATTCACGCTTATGACCGTGGTAGAATCCCCAGGATGACGGGATCAAAATTCAAAGCTCGTTTAACCAATGTTTCACTTAACCACAGAAATGTTTGATTCAACTGTGGTCGTAAGGTGAAGATACCTGTAAAATAACCCCATTGATTTTTCTGGCAGGGACTTCAATTGATGCTTTCCATTCCTTACTCCCCCTCCTTTCGGGGAGAGTTTTTCCAGCACTGAAAAAAAAGTGACTTATGACTCTGTTTCACGCTTACTAAAATTCAGATGCTTGGGCAAGTGGTTCACATTTATGACGGTTGCAGTGTCCTGGGGTCATGGGATCGATTCCCCTTTTCAACCTTCTGACAAGCAAAGTCAGAAGTTGTGGGAGCTTCATGGAATAGAATAGAATAGAATAGAATAGAATATTGGAATGAAGAATGGAATGGAATGGAATGGAAGACAGAAGAGAAGAGAAGAATATTGGAATGAAGAATGGAATGGAACGGAACGGAACAGAACAGAACAGAACAGAACAGAACAGAATAGAATAGAATTCTTTATTGGCCATGTGTGATTGGACACACAAGGAATTTGTCCTGGTGCAAATGCTCTCAGTGTCCATAAAAGAAAAGAGACGTTTGTCAAGAGTCAAGAATCATCAGGTGCAACACTTAATGATAGTCATGGGGTACAATAAGCAATCACATCATACTAGGAAGCAGTCAATAAAAATCGTAAGGATACAAGCGACAAACTTACAGTCATACAGTCACACGTGGGAGGGGATGGGTGATAAGGAGAGATGAGAAGATTAACAGTAATAGTAGTGCAGACTTTGTAATAGTTGAACAGTGTTGAGGGAATTATTTGTTTAGCAGAGTGATGGCGTTCAGGAAAAAACTGTCCTTGTGTCTAGTTGTTCTGGTGTGCAGTGCTCTATAGTGTCATTTTGAGGGAAGGAATTGAAACAGTTTATGTCCGGGATGTGAGGGGTCTGTAAATATTTTCACGGCCCTCTTTTTGACTCGTGCAGGATTCAGGTCCTCGATGGAAGGCAGGTTGGTAGTTATTGTTTTTTCTGCAGTCCTAATTATCCTCTGAAGTCTGTGTCTGTCCTATTGGGTTGCAGAACCAAACCAGACAGTTATAGAGGTGCAGATGACAGACTCAAGACTTCCTCTGTAGAACTGGATCAGCCTACCTGTAAAATAACTCCATTGATTTTTTTTGGCAGGGAGAGTTTTTCCAGCACAGAAAAAAAAGTGACTTATGACTCTATTTCACACTTATTAAAATTCAGATGCTTGGGCAACTGGTTCACATTTATGACGGTTGCACTTTCCCAGGGTCGTGGGATCGATCCCCCTTTTCAACCTTCTGACAAGTAAAGTCAGAAGTTGTGGGAGCTTCATCACTGGAGGCTTTCAAGAAGAGACTGGGCTGCCCTCTGTTAGAAACGGTGTAGGGTCTCGCAAAGTCAATGGAGGAAGCCAGATTCACCTAACTGTGTTACTAACTTATCAGCTTCGGTGATTCACTTAACTCTTAATAGATACTTTTGTTTGAAAAACTAATGTACTTAATTGTTAATATAATACAGTATATAGTTTAATGTAGTAATATATTGTTAATCTATAATATATTATAATTAATTGTAATTGATTAATATAATTAATATATAATTTAATACATTAATATGTAATTAATATATAATGTAATATATTAAATACATCCTAAAGCAGTGTTTCTCCACCAGGGCAGCTTGAAGATGGGTGGACTTCAACTCCCAGAATTCCCCAGTCAGAATCTTCAAGCCGCCAAGGTTGAGAAACACAGTCATAATACAGAATATATTAAATGTATATTAATATCTACATTAATGTATAATTTTGTTCAAAATTTCCTCAGAATGGAAGTGCAAGTAGTAATCTCGGAGCTGTCATTTTTTTTTCCTCCCACAGGGGATGATTAAAATACGAGGGGATCGTTGCTGGAAGGATTTGACCTGCATGAATTATCATTACGAGGTGAGCTTTCCACGTTCCAAATTCCTTTGCTCCTTCTTTAAAGGGCCTGTTGAAGTTCTTCTTCTTTCTGTATATTTTTCAACTGGTTGCAATGGATGCCTTCATTCTGGAACTTTCCAAACTCCCGTTGAAAAAAGGAAACCACCCATAAACAACCGCCCTGGAAGGTGGGTTGGGCTGAGAGAGCGGGACTGGTCATAACTCGAGGCCTACTTGTTCTGCGCGAACCAGAAAAAAGGACTGAGAAAATATCTACAGACCCTTCACAACTTAACAACTTACTATCTTAACAACTGCACGATTCACTTAACAACTATGGATGGAAGGTCCTAAAATGGGACAAAACTCACTTAACAAACGTCTCCCTTAATCACAGAAACGTTGGGATCAATTGTGGCACCTGCATTTATTTATTCATTTTGGAAGAGAATCTGCAGCTATGAATTGGAAGCCAATAAGAAAGATAGGTAGAAGATAGAATACTTTATTGACCAAGTGTGATTGGACACACAAGGAATTTGTCTTGGTGTAAATACTCTCAGTATTCATACAATAAGCTTAGGCTATGCACTCATGACAACTAAGATGGTGAGGGGGAAGTTTCAGGATTTACAACAGGGTGCAAAAATTGAGGCTTCAAACTCCCTCTCCCCCGGCGGTTGCTGAATTTTAGCTTTCCACGCAAAAGAAGGAAATTATTGAATATATTGTGAGTAATCTTTTTGACAGTGTGCAATTAATTACATTTCAGTTGGTGTTTTTTTCCCCTCAGCTCTGCCCACTCAAGAGTTCAGTCACACTCAAGTTCAGTCTTCTCTTCCCGATCGTTGCTTTCTTTTGGTTTATATTGTTTGACCGTTCATGGTTTGGAAAGGGGATTAAGAATATTCCCCAGCGGTCGGGACAAATCCCTTATAAATCCTGTAATACCAAGGCTAGTGTTGCCCCATAATAGTTGCGTCTTTTTTTCATCGGTTCAAGACAAAGCACTCAAGTCACTAACAGAAGCTCAGTTCAACCCAGGGGTGGGCTGCTGGTGGCTCGCAGGGGTGTGGGAGAACCCCTAGCAAAGATTCTGTGCAGTTTGGAGAACCTCCCAAATCCCACTCCTCGGAAGCAACGACTGGAGTTTGTGATAACCTGGAGGAAGACCAGCGCCTCGGAGTTGTTCCGTTGAGTTAACTTCAGATCCGCTCAGTTGAAGGAACTTCAGATCTGGGTCAGAGATCCTTAGTGGATCTCAGCTCCCAAGTTATTTGGAAGAAGTGAGGGCTATTTAACTTGGTCTTGCTTGGGCGGAAAGGGAAGGACAGGTGGGAAGAAAAGGAACCACAGGTGTTGTGGTTATTTATCTTGATTGATTAAGTATCATCAATTCAGTGTTGACTCTTAGTGACTACATAGATAGTTCTTCACCAGGATGACACACAAACACACACGCACACACACACACAACACATGTACACGAACACACATAGACACCCTGCCCCTGAAACATAGTGCTTCAGGTGTTCTGATGGTGCTATTATCCACTCTTTTTTCTCCTGGTTATTCTCCTCCCTTTCCTTCTACCTTTTCCAGTTATGGGCTTCACGTAGGAATTGGATCTTTCCATAATATATCCAAAATATGATAGTTTGAGCCTGGTACTTTTAAGTAACTACTCTGGACTGATTTGTTGGTTGTCCATCATGTTCTCCAGACTTTTCTTCAACCCCAGAGTTCAAAAGCATGTTTCTGCCTTGAATTCCCAATTTTCTGAAGTTTATCTTGTGTTGGTTCACTTGGATATTCTTCTGTATCAGTCTTTACATCGCAGGGATTCTCATGGCAACTCTTTAATGAAACTTGGCAACCATCATTGGGAAATTTATTTACTTTTTTGTTGTTGTTGAAAAGCAGATGAATATCTCTTAATTAATGTTGTAACAAGAGGCTGAGCCAAGGGGATGAAACGGGTAAGAGGGTGAAGGAAGGCTGGCAAGCTGGTGAGTGACAGATCCGTCAAGAAAATTGGGGTTGTCAAAATCTTCTTTTATCCTGCTGATGGGCTGGAGGATGAAACAGGAGCTGTGGGTGGTAGAAAATCTGTTTGATTCTTGTGGGAGAAAGATGAAAAGCGAACCAGCATTTAAACTTTTCAAGGGTTGTAAAAAAGAATGACTTCAGCTGGATAGAACATTTGGAGAGGGTATTTGAAGGATCTGCAAGGTCCAGTTTTCCATAATGGGACAAGGCTGCAATCCTGGGAATGGGACAACTCGCTGCAGCCAACTTAGCCATGGCCAACTCACTGCAGAACAACTTGCCACGGCCAACTAGCTGCGGGACAACTCACCAGGGCCAACTCACTCACATGACCTGAGATTGTCATGCCCCTGTCGGAATCTGACTCGAGGAGGAAGCCAAACAGCTGACAGGGAGTGGGAGTATGGCTCTGTTGGCTGTGGAGGAAACTGGGGAAGGGCAAAGGCTGGCTGGGCAGAGCAGGGAACAGGTAGAACAAGGGAGAGGGAGTTCAGAGGAAGACCCAGGTCCACCCCCTCTTCATCCTAGGGCATGCAGGGAAGAATGGAGAAGAGAGCAGAATGGGTTGCTTGGCTTACGGAGGAGGAAAGGGTCCTGATTCCCTTCATTAGCTGCAGCTGGGAACACAGTGTGTAAAAAAAAAAGGCAAGCTGCGTGCAGCAGGCTGTTGGGAGCAAACGTGACTTTATCTTGTATTGTTGTGGCTTATCTGCATTCCTGGCGCCTTCCCAACTGTGTGAGTTTTGCCGTGCTTTCAAGTCTGAAATTCTTGCTCCTGCCCTGCCAAACTAATTACTTCAGTTTGGCTTGTTTGGACTTTTAAGTTAAAGTTTGTGTGTACCTTGTTTTGGACTGAATTTTCTGCAGTCAAAGGCTGTTCCTGGCAGAGTTTTCTCCAACCTGGACATTGGGGGCAAAGTTGGAGGTAATAAAGGGACTCTTATTGCTTATCTGACTGTGTTGCCTTTGTGCCACGCCTCGGGTCATCACAGGGACACTGTGACCATCATAAAGATATCTCAGTTGCCAAGCATCTGAATTTTGATCATAAGTCCACAGGGATGCTGCTGCAGTGGTCGTTGGTATGAAAAATGACCATAAGTCACTTTTTCCAGTGCCATTGTAACTTTGAATGGTCACGAAGTCTTAACCTGTGTTGTCTCTTTTTTGAGGATTACACTGCAATTTTCATGCCCTGCCAGCCTCAGGGCAATGGAAAACCATGCCATCCGCTTTCAGCGTATTCACACTAACTAAATCTGAAATTCTTGGTGGCTCACGTGTGGTTGAGTTTTCCGTGCCTGCAGTAAGTTAGCTGTGGCTTCTGCGTTCAGATTGTGTTGCAACCCTGAAAGAAAACAAAGATTCATCATTTGCCACGGGGGTTTTTTTCAGCAAAGGATCCAAAGCCTTTTATGGCAAAACTAAAATCTTTCTTTCTTTTTTTCCTTCACCTTTGAAACATAAGATTTGCTTTACGGGTAGTCCTTGACGTACAATAGTTCATTTAATCAAAGTTACGTCCCTGAAAAAAGTGATTTACAACCATAACAGATATAACAGATAATCAGAGTTGGAAGAGACCTTATAGGTCATCTAGTCCAACCCCCCGCCCAAGCGGGAGACCCTACACCATTTCTGACAAATGACAGCCCAGTCTCTTCTTGAAGGTCTCAAGTGATGGTGCTCCCACAACTTCCGAGGACAACTTCTGTTCCATGGGTTGATTGTTCTCACTGTCAGAAAGTTTCTCCTTATTTCCAGGTTAAATCTCTCCTTGTTCAGTTTCCATCCATTATTCCTTGTATGGCCTTCGGGTGCCTTGGAGAATAGCTTGACTCCTTCCTCTCTATGGCAGCCCCTCAAATACTGGAAGACTGCTATCCTGTCTCCGCTGGTCCTTCTCTTCCCTAGACTAGCCAGGCCCAGTTCCTGTAACCATTCTTCATAACTTTTAGCCTCCAGTCCCCTAATCATCCTGGTTGCTCTTCTCTGCACTTTTTCTAGAGTCTCAACATCTTTTTTATAGTGTGGTGACCAAAACTGGATGCAGTACTCTAGGTGTGGTCTTACTAAGGCTTTGTAGAGTGGTATTAGTACCTCCCTTGATCTTGACTGTATCCCTCTGTTAATGCAATTTAGGATTTCATTAGCTTTTTTGGTGGCTGCTGAACACGGCTGGCTCCTATTTAGCTGGCTGTCCACGAAGAGTCCAAGATCCCTCTCACAGTTCCTGCTATTGAGCCTGGTTTCACCCCAGTCTATATGTGCACTTTTGGTTTTTCTTGCCTAAGTGTAGGACTTTACTTTTCTCTACACTGAATTTCATTTTGTTAGATACATTTTTCACACTTACGGCAATTGGAGCATAACCTGAAGTCATGTGATCAAAATCCGAATGGTGGGCCACTGATTCATATTTATGACAGTTGCCATGTCCCGAGGTCAGTTTTGCAACCTTCTGACAAGCCAAGTCAATCGGGGAAATCCAGATTCACTTAACAACCAGGTTACTAAGTTAACAACAGCAGTGATTCACTGAACAACTGAGGTAAAAGAAAGGTTATAAAATGGGGCAAAGCTCAGTTAACAACAGACATTTTGGGCTCCATTGTGGTCGTCAGTCGAGAACTACCTGTATTAGCAGGGCTTACCAAATATAGTGTGTGGCTGAAACCGACTGCACCTCTTTTTGTCCCCCCAGTTTTGGACGTGCTCCTCTCCACCTTTAGGTTGCAACCAGCATGTGTAGACTGGCACGTGCAACTTTCTCATAAAATCAGTGAAAGCCGTAGAATTAAACATTCTTTGCACTCTTTTAAACGACATTATGCATGCCAATCCAGTTTTTAATCCAGGAATACAAATTCTTTTCCAGTCTTGCTATTTTTTTAAAGTCCTCTGTGCTAGGGAATTGCACAAAAGAGCCTTTGTCTTTTTTTTTTTTTTTTTAAGTTTATTAATCTAATTTA